TGAATTGAAGGAATGTGCGTGATTCAAGTTGTAGCATTGTGCCACCTTGATCAGCTAACTGGGGTTGTACGAAAGAAATCAATGAGAAAGAGGTGTGCAGAAACGGAGTTCATTGATAAAGCACGTGGTGCAGCAGCATGACTGACTGCTTGAATGCCTACCTGCCTGATTGACTGACAGTGTGTGTGTGTGTATGCATTCGCCACAAATGCGAGAAGTGAACGGGGAAGAAATGGGATAATGGAGTGCTACAATGGCGCGATCAATTATTGCAGCATCAGCATTAGCAGCAGTAGCGTCGAGGATAACAAGGAACATAGGGGCCAATAAAAAGAACAACAACCACAACGATAACGACGATGAGGACAACAACAGCAGCGGCACCAACAGCAGTAGTAAGAGCAACAACGACGANAACAGGCATAACGAATACAATCAGTACAAATCAAACAAATTTCTCATGTTCTTTGGGGCGGGGTGGGACGGGGGACGGGGGACGGGGAGGTTTCACAACACAAGCACGGCGACTGAAAACAAATAAACCAGTGGTGTGCACGTGCGTAATAACTACGGGGGCTAAAACAATCGAGACAAGAGAATGCGCCCCCCAAAAGAGGTCTTACTGAGCAGGTTTCGGACAAACTTGGTGAAACCTAGAGGGAAAGAGGGAACAAGGTGCAAACAAGGGATCGCAAAAACGTTTCAAACAAGAGACGGAATGAAACGAAACAAGGGAACGAAGGAAAGATTGTGAATGTGTGTATGTATGTGAGTGTGCGTGTGTGCGTTGCTTCTGTTTCTGTTTACACGATTAATGTTTGAACAAAATAAAAAGCATTCGAGTTATGAGGATTAGAACTCGTGAGAAATTTGGCAATTTCAAGCGCACCTCACAGTTTCACAGCAAATATTGAGAGGCGAATTAATGAAGGAAAATCATTTTTTTTGGTGACAAACTCAACGAATGGGAAAAGAATCCAGGATGCTATTCTTAAAACATCCTTGAGGTTTTATTGTGATCACGGTAGGGGCATTTGTTTCTTTTTCACTTTATTTGATCAACCATTTTAGTTGAAATTAAAGGAAAACACTACTCACCTTTGCAGAAATACATAAGCTGAGCTAAGCATTTTAAAAAGATGATGCTGAAATAGTTTTATCGAGCAAATATTACCTGTTACAGAACATTAAAATGTATACGAACCAACCAATATATGTTAGTTTTGTGAGCAGTGTACAGTCATTATGAGTGAATGAGTTTATCATTGAGGATTGGGGCTTTTCACCTTAGAATTAAGCTAGCAGATTTTTGCCAGATTCTTCACAAACCTTTTAAAAGTAAGATTCATTATCAATTGCGTTTATGATCATGTAAGTGATGGCCAGCTTTTGGATGTCAGAAAAGCAATCGATTGATGAACGCAACCATATTCAAGCAAGTTAAGCTCTTCAGTCTCGAAACGTTGAGGTGTTTTAAGGTCGTGCATGGACCACCAAAAATGATGTTTCTGGGCCTGAGAGTAAGACAGATGATGACGTTTGTCTAATTCACTTAAATTCGACAGACTTGTTTTCCTGTTTTGTGTATGTTCAAATACGGAATAAGTGTAGTGCTGAGATAATCATTAAATATAGCCTGGTTTTTCTATTTACTATTCCAATAAGTCATCGTTATGGTTCACAGGTGTCCATAATGGAAAGCTATGACTTCATAGGCACGAAATCAGTTCCTTCTACCTTCCTTCTACCTTCTACCTTCTTTTACTAACCCTTCAAAATTTGTTCGAGTGTCGCATCTGATGTGTCCATTGACACTTGCCTCAGGTACCGCAATCCGTTGCCAATCAATTGAACCATGTATATGACACCATCATTGATCTCATCCCATATCCGAAATCACTTATGACATCGGAACTTACTAGCTTTCATCCTTGTAAGTTTTTCTAATCCAGAGTGCTGTCGTGGCGATCGGGATAACACTTAAGGTCAGTTTATTAGGAGTAATCCTGGTTAATACGTAAGTTCTGGTATTATCAGTTTCCATCGAAATGCGCATGATTTTGTTCTGCTAGGACCTTCTGCACGATTTTGCCATTATTTGCACACAAAAAGTCGGACTTTGAACAGGTGTATATGCTATCAATCAACAGTTTTCTCGGTTAACCCTCCCTCCACAAACAGCTGTACTTAATTTCCAAATAATATGCACAAATTTATTCAATGTATATTTGCGAATTTGATAACGACTAATAAAGATCGTCACATCATAAGAAAATACAAGAGTGAATTATTCTGATTATTTCATTTAATTTTAGATTTTCTGGATTTGTGGTGATTGTCCATGTTATAAGAAAAAAAATATAGCAGCGCCTGCTCCAGAACAAAGCCACCTGGTCTGAAAATGTACCATTGTATTCCTCGATCAAATACATCTATCAACGATGCCATGTCACAAACCTAAGATAAACCAATCAATCCTTCTTTATTTGTGCATATTATCATTTTTCAAATCCCAAGGATGTAAGAAGCTTTTTTCAAATTAAGCGCTATTCATTTGTTGGGGCTTTTAATTCTAATTCTAATTCTAACCTTCCTTTGAACACCAATGTGGTCTTACTACCGATTGCATGCTATTATTCTGTGTAGAGCGAATCCCTTTTGGGGTTGCAATCTGTGTAATATCAGACGGATGTGACATGCTTTTTTCAAGTAGCATAGCAGGCATGATGATTGTTGATTGGAGTCCAGTCAAAGCTCATGAACTGTTCACTTGTGTACTACGACAGAAAGGATGAAGTCGGCCAAGCAACTGTTAAGTGTCTAGGCAGATTAGCTATACAATTTCTCTATTTACACAACCACGAACTCCAGTTCACGTTGCGCTTCACTTTACATGGATATGCTCGCGTTGAACTAGTGAACAGATACACAAAGTTTTTCTGTCCATAAAAAGGGAACACACATTCGATTTCACACGTGCTTTTAGTGGATTTCTTCTTAGCTGGCCACAGCAGAGCCTTCAGTAGACATCAAATGTAGAAAAGGTGAGTGTTTAACTTGCCTCAAACAGTCAACAGTATGCCGAATGAGCAAACAGTTGGATGGGATGGACAGCGCCCTCTACGACTGACGTTCTATGCATGCTCTGTCTGAAATGAACTTTGTATTTCAAGCAATGAAGAACAGTTGGGTTCGCAGTTCTGTAGATTTAACTTGCGCTTTTGTTTCTTTTTTAATTCAGATATAACTGTGTTCTCTCGTGCCGCTCGTGTCAGTGCGGCAACCTAGAGTTGTTGGCGGCCAAAGGGACGACTAAACTTTCCGTGTTGATTTGCATATGGCAAGTTGTACCTTATCGACTCGTGCCACCTGGTCCGTGTGAGATTGAAGGCACAACCGCTTGTCGAGTTAGGAAAGGTCGGGCGTCTTCATACGTGTATACACTCCGATTTTTATGTGCTCGTGTGTATTGTGTTTGTTTGCATTCTGTGCAGTTAGGTGAGGCTTGAATTAGACGCCATGGCTTAATGCGGTACAGTAGATCAGTTATTCAAGTATTCTTCTTGCCCTCCACCAACGTCTACCACCCCCATCACACCCCCACTCACCCCGCCCCGCTCCGCCATCCCTCACTCCACACCTCACTTGGTACCGTTATTGCTGCTGTTGCTGTTACCGCTGTTGTAGCCGTTACAATGTAAGGAATGTGATCGAGTTATACATGCATGAGGATCGATGCCGTGAACTGAGGTACTGGGTTATTGACCGACCAGGTGCAACAGCATTTCCACACTGGTTCATGTCAGGTCGTCGGCGTACCCACGAACAGCACAGCATACACACACACGCACACGCACATACACAGAAACTAGTAGACTTTTCAGCATTGATCATACCAGGGAATCTTTTCCGTGTGATGAAACGGCTGACATGATTTGGGGATTAGGTAGACTAGTCAGCACGATAGCATTCCTAAACGTGTTCAAATGGATGCAAAGAATGGTATGTTCATTCTTAGTTCTACAAACTGTTCCAGCATATCAGAAATATTATTGGTCGATCATTTCATATCCATGAAATAGAGGACATACTAATAGGGGATATGAGCAGTCGGTACAGGATCAAAAAGTATACATAAAGAAGTTTAAATGGTCGGATTTTGAGTGATTGCTGAACAGCTTAGAAAAAAGAATACTTGTCCCAATTCTAACCTACTCAACATGGAGAAACCTTTGGACGGTTCATCGTGTTTTCTAAAGGCAATTCACTAGCTGAGCAGAGGGAATAAATTTGAAAGATGTAATGCAGCCATCTCAGAACACTCAGTACAGTTGGTGAGTGGAGTTCGACACGAATACTGATTATTTGACGAGACGGAAAGTCATGGTACAATTATTGAAGAACAGTATTTAGCGGTACTTACGCATCATTTCGACTGGAAAAGCAAAAAGATGAGCATACTTTGTATAATGTGGATAGATAGTTGGTCACTCCACTGTCAAGGTGTCCTGCCCCTCGTCACCCACAAAAATGCTGGCCTGGAAAAGTGCCTCCGAATTGTAGATGCGATGAAAGGAAGCCGCTTCGGAACACACAAATATACGCGGGTATCTGACAATCGGCAATCATCACGTAATAGTTTGTACGCGTCGGTCGTTCAGATACTACTGGTTGTACAATCAAATATTCATGAACCCATAAGAACATTTTCGACTGTGGTGTCACATAGTGGGATACTATTTATTGTATTACTCTGTTAACTGCCTTGAGGTTAACAACGAGGTCTTACATGGTGAACTAGATTGTCTCTTTTCATACCGGTTTTTTTTACTTCCATGTAGAGTCTTCTTTTTTCTAATATGCACCACACTTCTTACCTATGTCATAAAGACTCGTCGACAGAGAGAGAGAGAGAGCAAAAGAGAAAAAGCTATTAAGCGAACGGTACAATGAGCAAATTCCGTTAAATGAGCCGGATACAGGCGGTACGTGGCTGGAACGACCAGGTCAGGGTCCATAAGACGAAAAATTAAATGAGCGAAGCAGATCATGCAAGGTTAGGATTATTACTTCGTCCGGTTCAGAATTGTGTGGGTCACACTTTATTTGGATGATGGAGTTCAAACAGAGTTACACCAATACTGCTTGTTTGCACACAAAACAAAACAACCGGCAAACTGTGGGAGTGTGTGCCAATGTTGCTTGAGTGTTGTTTCAGTTATGTGAACCTCCATGGCGGTAAGCTCAGTTAAAGAACTAAGATGCATCACTGAAGTAAACCACACACACACAGAGATAAAGCGATTACAGAGTGCTAGCAAACAAAGTTAAATTGCCTGCAATAGTCGCCAAAGGTACAGGGGTAGTTAGAAAACAAGAGCGTGTCCAAGAAGATTTGAAGTGCATGTGTGTACGCACGCTCGTATTTGCGTTGATCGGAGCCCGTTTTACCGATTTGTTGTAATACCTGATTCAAACGAACTTTTATGCACTATCTTACTCTTAGACAAAGCAGAAGCGAAACTGTAGATATGAGGCATAAAGAATAAGTAAGTGGACGATACGTTATTGTTGTTGCTTGACTTACCAGATTTTGGTGTAACCTTTGGTGGTAAAGTGGCCACTTTCACTGCTAAACCAAACGCGTCTTTGAATGTGGTACTGTCACGAATGAGGAAGCTGCCCGGGGGCTGCTGACGCAAAATACTAATGGCTAAGGGGCATTGTGCATGGCGTGTGAAGATGGAGAGAAAAGGTGAACAAACGAATTATTCTCAACCGAAAACTGTTCATGATCACACAGTACATGATTTTTACAACATTGTGTAGAGAGAGGTATAAAGATCAAAAGAAAGAAAGTACAGGCAAATCGTATCTGAATCCAGGAAAAGGTGATCATCNGGGAGCCAATATTGAGTGAAACATGATGATCACTTTGGGATTTGGTGATTCGTTTAGTTCAATAAAATTGATGTAGGGGACAGTATTTTTTCTTTATTTTGGATTCGATAAGAAATGTTGATTAAAGCGATGTGCTTTCAGGTGTCAACATAACATTTCGGACAAAAACAATCCGTTTTGTTGTGATTACAACAGCAAATTGTCTTCTGAATGAAATTCGACTATGAGGCAAACGAGACCCTATAGTTCACGGAGCTAACAATATACCAAAACGCAACATGTTTCCGTAGTTTTCCTGGAAAAATGTGACAGTTGACATGAGCACCTTTTAAACCGTACATAAAATCAGTAGCTATCAGGAATATAGTATTTTCACTAGGCCACCCACCTTGATTGCTTGCATCGCTGTGTTCCGGAGCACACCCTGGCCTCCCCTAGGGGGATCTTCTGTGGTTCGCTACTTCAAATGGCAGGGCTAAGGTTGCTGGTTACTAAAACACAACTCATCATGGTTTTGTACACTCCCAATAAATCGTTTCACATGCTCATCCTCGTATGCAATCTCAGATTACTCTCAACAAGGTTTGCGGTCCTCATTAAAACATTGATTTGGGGCATCACTACCTTGAATCTTGCCCCCTCACCCTTCTGGGAACACAAATTTCTTTTTCGAGAGATCGAACACATCATTTTCTCAACATTCACTGCATGTATCTTCTCTATTCAAAACTGGTGTATATGCTTCAGTTGACCACTCAGCACAAGTCACCTATCTAAATGTCTCCAATCATGAGTTTCTGCTCTAATGGCTGAAGTTCCATATCCGACATTTAAACCCCTGCGTTGTATTCTTTTGTCTTCTGTCGACAGTTCTGATTATTCTGCGTTTCTTTTACCACATAATACATATAATTTGCAGTTAGATTTCAATGCCTCAGTCACCATCCAAGATGCATTCAACGCTCTCAACATCGACTGCTTAGAACACTTCGCAACAATCATGACGATAGGTAGCGAGAAGAAAAGCTTGCAATTGTAAACAGCTTATATCTATGAGGACTGGTGATCCTTCCGACCTGTGCTCCTGATATTATGGAGGAGCGCGCTCATATCGCCTTCCAGTCAGTCTGTTTTCTCTAATTCATTTCCATCTTACCTCCTTAGCTCAACGGATTCTTTGTCTTACGACCTTGAATTGTCACACCAGATGTATCGTCCCAACACTTCCTCCTCATCGCACCATCAGGCGTTACAGGTCCGAATGCAAAAGTGATTTCCGTTACTGTCTGGTATCCTACCTCTGGCGCGATTGCAGTTGTTCTTCCGGCCTGTCCACTCCAATGGAGACTATTCTCCGAGGTATGTACAATCTTATTCCTCCTGTTTTCAAGTCCGGGTAAACTTACTTTGAATGAATAATGAATTCTTTCTACAGCACGGTGGATATCGAACAGAAAGTCTTCCACGGTTGATGTTCATCCCAAAATCCTTCTTCTCACTTCTACTATGTTAAGGCACTGAGCAAGTGCTCAGCATTCACTAGGAAAGATAAAGACAAATTTAAACTTCGTACATGCCACGAACTCAGCAACTGCCCATCAGTCTACGGGTAGCTCTGGTCCCTTGCCGAAACAGCTTTCTTCAATTTTTCTTGGTTCATTTAACCAGTTGAGAACGCTGCGGGCGGTCAGGTTCCCACTTGGTATGAGCGTATGAAAACCCTGATCAGGAGACTTGCTTACATAGAACGCATCAGGCATCCTGAATGGGGGGATCGGTCTCAGCGTAACCAAGAGATTGAAACACAAAATGTCGTAAACAGTGCCCCTCGAGCGTCTACTCTATGTCCTTGCAACGCTAGTCGTCTGAAATTCTTTTTTTGGACATTGACACTACTTTCTATATTCCACTTTTCCCTTTGCTCTCACATTTGTCCTCGAATACCACCAATCGTGCTTGAGATTTGCGCTCTAAATCTTGCCCTGCTCCTCCGTTTTCTTCTCTCCCGATCTCCATCACATAGCATGTTTTTCAGCTGTTGAATAACTCTCACCTCTTTCTTATCTTCAAGAAAGGAGGATAATGTGAGTCAAATGTGAAACGATCAGTGCCATCGGTTTGGCCTCGTAGCTCAGCTGGTAGAGCGTGCGCGTACAAAGCGTAGGCGGCGTCCATGCGTCGCCTCGTAGCTCAGCTGGTAGAGCGTGCGCGTACAAAGCGTAGGCGGTGTCCATGCGTGGATTCGAATCCCACCGAGGCCATTGAACTTGGCACAATCTCGACATAAGTTCCGTTCCTTCTACCTCGCACAGCTCTTCTCTAAAGTGATGGAACCATCAACTACAAGGCAACTTTGATATCACAGAACACCACTGCCGATGGTACAGATAAACGGCAAACTTGTTGTATGAGCCACACATTAATTTCCCTGCCGCTAATCACCATGGCGAATTGCACCTAGTCTCTATTGATACCTCCAGAGTATTCGACCGAGTTTGGCTTGAAGGGTTCCTGACGATATTTCCCAAGTTTGAAATCTCATTTATTGGATACGGAGCTTGCTTGGTGACCGTTCAATCTCAGTTCTGGTTAGGTAACACTAGTGTTCCTCAAGTTCTCCCGCTAAGTCCCCCTCGCTTTCTTTTGGTATTGTCTGAATCTTATTCCAAATTCTAATACTTTCCAGGTTTGGCTGCTCATGCCACCCTATAGTGTTCTCTCACAAAATTCCCCGTGCTTCCTATTCCATTCTCACTCACACACTATTGTGATGTACTGAGTTGAAATTTGAGTTCCATCGCCGAGTGAGGCACCAAAAATGATATCATGTTTGATGCCGCTTAAACCTTTTGCATGCCAAAAACGTAATTCCTGATCTTCCAAACTACAAACTCAAACTCTTGATCACTTGGCTCGACATCTTTTACAGTTATGCTCGGCCTCATATGTTTCTTACATATTGTTGAACTTAAATCACACTCCTCCCGGAAGAGTTCCTGACCTTTTTGCGGAGGTAGCGCTCTTTCACGCCCACCCTTCAAATTTTACAGTGCAGCCGAATTTGGAAAATTGTAGCCATATCTGAGGGGGGAGTATCCTCTTCCTTGGTTTGAACCGCATTTAGCGTGAAACTATTCGCCTTGCGCCATTCGTTCCTGTCATACACTTGCTCTTTAATTCCTTCTTGATTGCGGTGCGATCACTTCCCCGTTGGTTTTCTATCATTATTACCACCGACTTTACTTTGTGAAACTTGTCAAGCTGATCGCTCTTTTAATTTCATTCGCTCAACGGACCAAATCACACGCGTCAGTTACCATAATTATGTGCTCTCATCAACGTGCCGAACGATGCCGAAATAACGAAAAATTTAAAATCTTTTCAATGGATGATCCAACAAGTGTTGCCCTTTGTGTGACGCGTTGGTAAAAATGGAATCACTTTTACAATCCTGTTAAACGATGGCTTTCAAATACTGTTTTTATTTTGTTTTAAACCACGGACTCGTGAAATACCCTAACTGTTTTTTCTGTTTTCTAGCAGAAATTCTACTGTACTATCTGTATGGTTGTGGGGTCTATCGCTTTACTCCATAACATGTTTGTCATGTAATAAAAATTGAACTTGACGCTTGGGAGCAGAACAAGGCAGTTAATCCCTGCAAAAGAAAAGCAGCTGAGTTACTTGTTGCATTTAACGTTATTTTATGATCGAATGTACATATATAAATTACCAGTCGCTATGCGCATAGTGAATTCAAATTGTTACGAAGAAAACAAAGAGCCATCTGTCTCACCTGCTTCTCGGGATAGGGTTGGTCTGTACCAAGCTGGTGCAGTCTCTTGTACAATGGACAGATTGCTATCCCCATCTACCGCGTCTGTGAATGCACGTTTTGTGGGCTCTGTTTTCCATCCGTTTGACATCAGGGCAGATGTGGCAGCAGCAGAAACAGGGGCAATAATGGTCGAACTGGTCGTGGACAGCTGACTCCGACTGGCACTCATCTGTTGTGCTGTCGACGAGGTTCCGAAGCGAGAGGGTCCAAGCGGTTGAGAGCCTTTCAGGCGGCCGAGAACAGAGCGGATCAGACGACAGAAACATAAAAATGTGTATGGTTTATTTGAATCACACTAAGGAAGAATGTACGGGTCACTGGTGACCACAAATATCTATCCTAGTATAGATTGTTAAAAAGGTAACCAAAGTGCATGAAAATATAATGCTTATCGGAAAGTTTCTAAGTAAAGGTTAAGCTTTTAATAAAACAACTTTATGCACAGGTATTGATTGAACTCATGTGATTTGATCCGCAGTTTGAAATATATTTCAGTTTCCAACATCGATAGCCATGGAAGATGTGCATTTATTCCGCACTTTATCTCCCACTAGCAATGCTATAAGTTCACTTGCACATATGTTTATTTGTTATGTTTGGTGTGTGGTAATGCCATTTTCATTCCAGTGTTGGGAGCAAGAAATTTGATGATGGAAGTCAAGGTGTCGTACAAGTTCGATCAATACCTGTGTAAACACATGTACACGAAATTTGCCTAACCTAACTGTTTTCATGAATAACCGCAATCTAAGCTAAGTAAACGGGGTACAGGGGTAGTGACAAAATAGAGAACGTTTTTGTTACACTCCGACAATATTTTCTCTAAGAATTACTTCTGACAGAAAGTATCTTACACGAATCGGAACAGACAAATTAATAATATTTTCATGAAGAAAAGTTTTAGAAATTTCTAAACTCGGGGCTGCGTTGTACCAAACTCAAAGAAGTTGTGTGTGCCTAATCTGAGTGGTTTACTCTCCCCCCCCCCCGCCACCCCAACACCGCTAGCACCACACCACCTCGAATTCTCAGAGGTCTACATTCTAATTCCACAATATTGAAGAAATGCTAGTTTTATTGGAAATTCTGAAGCAAAATTTGTGATATGTCACGTTCCACACTTTCTCCTCGTTACACAAATTTCCCTCTTTTCAACCTGCAACATTTTTGAGAGCGAAGACAAAATACGTCATAGGCACCAATAGCGAGGATTTGCTACTACGCTTCTTGTGTAAAGAAGGAGATTTTTTAAGTTTGTTTACTCACAGCATCACTTGACTTGTGATCACCAATTTTCACCGGTTTCAAGGTCAGATAAACAATAGATCTTGGGGAGGGATGGAAAATTCAAGTCGAGTTGAGTTATGCAATATACGGGCGAGCTTTAAGAATAACTTGATTGGTGGCCAGCGGTAAACTATTGCGCCGCTTTGTACTTGAAATCTGAACTGAATGCTTAGAATTCCACACGAAACCCAGACTGCTTAAAAAATGTAACACGAAAAGACAAAGTAACAACAGATACCGACATTCCAGCAAACAACCCAAGTGGGTACATTTTTCGAACTGATTTCATTAGACTCGTATGGTCGACGATTTCAAAATTCAGCTGGAGTAGTCATAAACGGCAACAGCCCTAAAATACTTACATTGATTGAAAGGACAACGTTCATCCAGTAACTAACTCATACAAACAGTAAATTGTCTCATGAGTATTTAAATATCTATAGAATGAAAGCATTGGTTTGTAATATTTCTTTGCACAGTGTGACAACCAGTAGAAGAAGCTATTGGATCCATGGTTATTTGATCGGAAACAGACATCATTATGGTTTCAGTTTCACGGCATTGATTGAGTGACGAAACACCACATAAGGCATCTGACGAGAAGGGTGGATGGGTTATTGAGCAGAGTAACAATGAGGCTATGCACCACTACATTTTGAGTTGACATTCCCAACTGTGCTTCAGGTAAAGTGGTCTGTAGGATGTTAGGGTCGGTTATTGCTGTTTAACTGAACTTACTCGATAATAAACAGTCATTTTTAAAGTAATAATAATGATAATGACAATAATAATAATAATAATAGTCATGTGAGGAATATACCAGCGTTGTAGCAGTGCGACGCAAACCAGAAAAGTATTACGCAGACAGCCGTAGATGGGCATGTACGGGAAGAAAACCGGTGATATAGTTACCAAACTCCTACATATAAGAGTCTGACCGTCAACCGTTTAATTCGGGGATGGAAGTTTTAGTTCCCTGAGCAAATGATCAAAATTGGGGATCCAACGGGAACAAAACATAGCGTGTATGTTGTTACCGAGGTCTATTAATCAGAAATTACTTCCAAAATGGAATCAACATTGGATTATCAATATTGGCTAGTAAGCTGTCTCCTCTTACTAATGCTTGTGTGTTAATAGAAAAGTTCGAATCATCTGGGTGGTTTTCGCCTCCTCAAAGAACTCAGCTGGTTGTATTAAGTGTATTTAAGCAGAAGGAAAAATGTCTACTGAGTAAAAACAAGCTTGTGCAGTGTGTTTCCTTTCCGAGTCACATTACAACACCATGAATCAAATCCGACTCACCAAGATGAGCCTGTTGATGGGATAGCACGGTTGGCTTGGTGATGTCCGAGTTCGATGTGTTTCGATGTAGAAATCTGGGCGAGTGCAAGAGAAAAACGAAATCCAACAGTCAAACACATATGACAACGTCACGGAAAACTGGACAACATTGACTCAGTTAATCGGAAGTGCATCTCGTTTGTGAACATGCGTTCCTTTTCGCAAAAGATAACCGAGGAGGACCTATCCATCCATAATCGTTGTCTTTCTCTTCTCGTAACCGCGTAACCCTATACGTTTCTCATTCAGTACATCACACAACGATGGGGCCAAAAAATGTCCGATTCGTCAACGGACAACAACAGTAAGATTTTTACGACATATCAAACATTCGGAGCAAGCGATTTTTCTTCGCAGAACTACATCAACCACAAAAACAACACCAAAAAAGAAAACAAGGGTAAATATCAACTGCGCACTGCCTTCGCTGACGGCGTGTTCTGCGAAGAGAAGAAAAGCGGCGGAAGAAGAAAAAGAAATTGGAGTGAAATTCAAGCACAATTCGACCGGTAAGGAGTCTTGCATGCATCAGGGATCGGATAAGTAAAATGGACTGTCAAATTCCTCCCCCTTTTTTTGATCATCCGTTGACCAAATACTTTCCCACCTCTGCGGGACCGGCTTGATTGATCACTTAAAAACAAAACTATGTCCTGATTGCAATTCTTCTGACCCCTCACTTTAGCAAATAAGACTTAAGCTTACACTAGTTATACAAGTACAAATACAGTTATGTTTTCTATACTGGTGTCTTAATTGACCAAGCATTATCCTAAAGTTTATGGTTGAACATGTTCATTCAATAATATCGTAACTGTATCGTTTCTCATAAATTACGTGTTCGTTTTAATCTCTGAGAGTTCACCACAGGTTGAATCTATTCCGTTCATGATATGAAACTTTGAGTGAAAGCAAGGACCTATATCTGTGAGGGGTTAATGTCTCAGGTGTCAGGCTCTTAATTCGAGCCACTGTATGGATGCGAACATAGCACGGATTTGCTTCTGGGTCTGAGCAAGGTCGAAACAGTTGTTCCATACTGGTCACTAATCATCAAACAACAAAATTACAACAGAAAAAAAAGAAAATTAAAAGATGATTTGGAATTTGGCATTTGATTCATTTTTGTCTCAATATCTTATACAGAAGGCGGATGCCAAGTGTATTAGCTTGAACCCAAAATCTCGGATTCAAGCCGGCGAAGGATGTAAAGGCATGATAAACTTGCAGGCGTAAGGCATTATTATTCGCAGTAATGGCAATACGTCAGCTTAGAGCTTCTTTAACCTGAATGTGTGAACGTTCATTCGAGAAGTTCTTTGTGTATGTTGTAATCATTACCGAGATTCTCATTATCATCGTATAGAGATTGTTCTCTACAAGAAATGCCAATCAACTATCTCATTATGCATCCCCAGAAAAGCAGTTAGATCGGTTTTCGTAGCGATTCTGTGCTATATCGTGTAAATGGAAACTGAAAAATGGTCTGATCATCTGCCCGCGGAGTGGTCAAGTGGGTAACATGCTTGCGTTCTGCCTGTGACGTCCCGGGTGTGTTCTTTAGTTGGATCGATGGATTCGTACTGCTGATGAAACCCAACCAATTCGAAACAAACAGTGTTTCCTAGCTTTGCAGTTCACGCTTCATTTGCCCTATACACGACGAATTTCCCGTTTGAGGTTCTTATAAACTGTTTCGAGTGCACACGGGGTGTGTGTGTAGACAGATGGAAATCGCCTGAGCTATGTAGGAAATTCTGAACTTGATCTGTTTGGATAACTTGCCCTTGACCGTATAAGGAGGTCGGAAGGCCTCAAGTACATTGACCTTGTGAGTAGACTCAGTCAAATGGTTCGTGATTGCCGTCGCCTTGGTTCATTATCTTTGTTTAAACTGTGATTTCCTTTGCAGATTTGTCTTCTCTCACTGCCTGTTTAATCTATGATAGTTTGTGCTGCATTTAGCCAGTTGATGAAGCACCGTAAACGAGTTTGTTTGCTATTTTGTGTTCTCATCACTACTCAATCGGGAATAATCCGACATGTGTTCTATCCAAATGATGCACAAAGGTGGAGGTAGCTGGATGATGTCGGCGTGAATTGACTTGCAGGCCTATGTGGTATTTGTCTAGATGGGTTCATGATGTTCACCATGAAGGTGCATTTATCAGTCGATCACCTTATTCCACTGACTACTGTGGATCAACGTCACCATGACACACACAAGCAAAACAGAGAATTGCCAAGGTAACAATTTTGAGCCGGTATGATTTATCTATTCGCAGCAAACGTCTATCAGCCCGGTAGAGATCAAGTGGGAAAGGAGACAGTTATAATATTGATTGGCTTAGCACTACTACCGCTTTCTATACCCGATCTATGCGAATTATTTGTTTGATATATATTTGATATATATTTCTTTTCATGCTTAAAAAATTCTAAAATTGTGGTAGTAGCAGTGGTGGTAATAGACCACACCGCAATGGTGATTCTAATGCTAGTCTCCCGATTGGAAGACCAAGGTCATACTGTGTGCGTTGGTTATCACACTGACATCCTTTGGAATGATCAAGAAAGGCGAGATGCTATGAATCAGTTTCGGTCCACATAAAACAAATAAATAGTTTATTGATCTCAGGCACACACGTATTTATAGTGTGTATCGGAAAAGATCAAGTCCCTGAAAGTATTTATACAGCGAAACTAACGATATGGATTGTCATTTTGTATGCCAAAGAAAGGTAAATAAATGGCCGATTTGATCGCATTCCACCGACAACAAGATGATTGTTTTCACAATGAGAATGAAATAGAAAACCAATGTGTTTACAGTTTGCGGCTTTAGTTCAACACAGAGCGGTATAGGAAAAGGCAAGTTGGGTAAACCTAGGTGGTTCGTTCGCTGTTCCCCAAACATGTGCCATTACACACAATTGTGTCCCTTTGATAGGTTATTAGGTTGATTGTGGGGCTACACTGGATCGTCAGGATGCAACCAAACAAGTGTTCATATACATGCTTGTGCGCAAGCACAATATTGATTATTTCCCAAATTTGTTTAGTCGTTAAATACACGATCTGGTTTCAATACTCAATGCAAAACCCACTCAGTAATCTTGACTATCTATTGCGATTTGGGAAGCAATTTGTTTTGAAGCGTTGGCCTCGTTGAAATGCCTGACACAAACAAGATGCGATCGTCCTGTACAGGCCAATTCAACTCCATGGAAGATTTATTTATACAGAATACTGTGAGTGTATTGCTTATCAATGAAATAATCGATAGAAGCCTTGCTCCAAACGGAAGCCTACAAAAACACAGTAGTTCGGATTTCCGAACAGCATAAAAATCAGGACCTTGTTAGTGTGTGATTTCTCATCACCGGTACCATATTCCGCACGAATACAGTCAAAGAACTTACATATTGCTTGATAATTAGCAAAACTCAGATGAGCTTGGGTACAACAACATAGTTTTTGAACAAAAGTTATGGATTGCTCAACGTTTCGTTCGCCTCAGACCCAAACTTTGAAAGATACCTAAATTCTGCTCTTCGTCTGCTTCATCGTTTTATTCATAAGTTTCCTGGATAGTTTGGGATTCTTTGTGTTGACCCTGAGGGAAAATATCGGTAAGGTTTTAAACACCACACTACAGTAGCTACTACTAATATCCGTTCTTACACGTGTTTCAGCTTAAATTAGTTTTACGCCTTGGATCGGCTAGTAATGCGAATAGTGGCTCACCTTACTTGTTTGTACACATAACCCCAAGTGTACCCCAAGTGAGTTATGTCAAACCGCGTCTTTTGATTAGTCACCCTTTTGGTGTGGGTTAGCGACCTTATCATACTGAAGAAAAGAGTTATTTCTTCATCCATACATTCCTCCCCTCCAGCTTAGAAAAACGTCTTGAATCGTACATTTTTTTCGTACAATTTTCCGATTCACTTCTCACAACCGAATCGAACTCACTGTGTTGATGAGAAACCGCGTCGGGTCAAACCCGTGCGTTGTCCGTCGTCCATACGATGAAGTCCTATAAAACAAGCAGAAAAACGAACAGTAGAACGCTTTTAGTATACGTCCAGACGAAGTTCACAGTTGATTGAGAAACAAAGCACCCGAAATGTGTTTAATCTGGTTCACCGATCGGCGATGAGATCACGTGAGCAAATGACGCAGTCCTGTAGCAGGAACAATGAGAAATAGGTTGTTCATTTCAGTATGGGAAAAACTTGAAAACTTTCAAACATCTACTGTCTTATGTTTTTCTGATGATTGTCAAAAATATTGAAACTGCTTTGTTCGAATTCAAGTTATTTATTGTCAATCGGTCACGGTTTTGTACCAATCAGAAATCGTGTAACTACTGGTGAAAAGTGTTCTGTTTTGTGAACCTTCTGTTCACTCTTTCGATAAATAAGCTGTATAGTTTGTAGAAAATGTCCTACCAATTTTCTCAGATACGGTGGTGCCGAGTAAACATCTATTTATATTTATTACTAAAACACTAAAAGCGTTCTTGCTCCTCCTCTAGGCCACTTAGCAGAAATGAAACACAAGGTGTATGGATTCAATGCGCGCACCTCAGAACCACGGTACTCAAACAAACGTATTCACTATGGCTTCGAAGAAAACAATCCGTTCATAAATTGAGCGAATCGAGCCGAGAAAGAGCGCTCAACTCAGCCGGCATTCGGTGAAATCAGACGGTGTGTGGCCTAATGCAATTTGCGTCTTTTGCGGTCAGTGTCAAACCGAATGTTAAACGTTGCAAGAACGACACAATATGATAACTATATAATTTCGAAAATTAAAACCCCCAAAACGTTCATGTGTATTTCGCATAGTATTATATGATAAAACCTCATAAAAATGTGACAAACTAAACGAGTACGATTTTCTTTCGTATATCTTCCATACAAATCAATTTCAATGCTATGAAACTTTCTTACTGAGTACAGCCATATTGGTTATCTGCTATAAGCAATATAATTACGTGTTAAATGTGAGCACAAAAGCTTTTGTCACGTTCTATCGCTCCCTGTAGAACCGTTAAAATCAACTACATCTCTTCCGGTATAAACACAACAGGTCAGAGGGCAAGACATAAAGCAAGCGAATATACAAAATGCTGTTAGAGAGAAAGGAACCAAGCATTTGGTTCAGGGTTCCATAACCGTAAATGATTCTTGCATAAGATAAGCGTCCGGAGGGGTCAGAGGCAGGGGAAATATGGCGAACTTCATTCAAATTATTGGGATTGATGTGATTTGTTCTTCGGCTAATTTACGTGAACACGCTCATAAAGTGAAATTTATCTCGAACACTACCGCTTCTTTGGTGGACACTGAGTGTGAGCATAATACTTCGGTTCTGTGTTTTGTGATAGAAACAATTTCATTGTTTCCCGCTTCTGTATCAGGTAATAACGCGATTTCCCCTCCCCCTTCCCCCGGCAAACTTCATCAACCTCCACTTTTTTGTCTGCTCCTGTTCTAACAGAACAGGCATTTGTTAGTTTGAGTAAAAAATATAACTCAGTCGTAGTTCCACTTAACTGGTTCTCAGTTTGTATTCTGTTCAGTCATCTAAGGGTCTTTTATTTGGAGTGGACAGGCTTCACTATCATAGTGCGAGAGACAGATTCAAAATGATTTTAGGGGTGTATCGAAAAATCGATGCACCATGTATTGTTTTATTGTGTATGTGATAGTGTTAATAACACATCGATGTCGACTCAGACCTCTGAGTCATTTGATTGTAAAACCTGTCTTGAGATAGATTAACCACGGTAATCGAAACGTCGGCGAATCTAATTTTCTACCGACATTGCTGTGTTATTAACACTATAACATTCACAACAGATTCAGGACATCCATGAGTGGACTGATTGGCGTTTGTGATAGAACGTGATCAGAATCAATTGACATGATAAGTAAGTAAGATGTCACTGTCGTGAGAGAGGAGGGGGTGAAGTGGGGGTGGGGGTCGGGTCATAGGAATGGGAACAGGCCAATTCATTCGCACACACACACACACAGATCCAATCAACCGCATGCGCACACAACTCGCCGAGTACCGGAATACGGCTAATACTATCTTATGCCAAAACAATTAGATTGGTTGTGTTCTAATCAGGTACATTGGTTGTGTGCTTTTGTGTGTGTACGAGTGTGTATGTTCACGAAAATCCCTACAGACTTGAAGACCATGACAGCGTCAAATCATTTGTACCATCCAGCTTGGACCGTGCGCCACGACACGTTTCTGCTGGTTCCCACCGAGCTAGTCAATTAAGCACTAAACCACTGAATGGTTGATCGGATGATGAACAAGCGAGATGTTAGTCAACCGACTGGGCAGAAGCATGAGGACGCTTCCTGTGGAGCGTGGTCATGATTCATTCCAGAATTGCATTTACGGTAGAATCTAGTAATAATATCAGTAAAGAGTGTCGATGGAACACGTAAGTTAAGTGAAATATGTTATTGATCAACCCATACTTATGTCACAGGTCCGTACTACTGAAATGTATTGTAAAGTGATCACAGACTTTTTATAGACCAACGGCGATATATATTTATATATGTAATGTATGTGATTGTTCAAAAGCGATCAGAACCCGGCGTGCACACACAAACGTGGCCAGCTTAGACGTTTTACCGTTGCGGTATAACACGCCCAAAACCTTTATGGCATGCCTCTCATGAGGATTCCATGCCAAGGACCTACGATTCATTTTAACAAAAAAACACTCGTTTGCCTTCGAAATTACTAACCCCGTTCATCTGGTGCACAAATAATAAAATTCAAACCAAACATAAGCCGCAATCTAACATACGACCTGCTATTCGAAGTGAATATAACGTCATGCCGATAAATTGTGTGTTTTGTGGTTTCCTTAAATGAAACGTCTCTAATCAATGAACTGATAGCAGTGGCGTTCTTGTTGTCACATCTTATCATACCACAATGCTTGAAATCGTGCCTATACACAGTTGAACTGTGCACTTTGTGTTGACCACAGAGGTTCGTTTTCTTTCTTCGTCTCCCATATCAGACCAAATCCCTATCCTCCTTACACATCCTTGCTCACCTTGTATGCATTATGAGTTTGACAGGCAGCGGTGAAGTTCGCTTCACCATATTCCGATGTATGATGACTCGGATGATGATGACTTGGATGAGGACGGTAACGATTTAATGAAGGTTTTCGGACCGCATTATGAATTGTACAGTTGTGCGCTTGACTTTTGTCAGTACTGATTCTGAATCAGGATGATGAAAGAGAACTATTTACTTTCCGATCAAGCAATGAAAACCGATACCATATTAAGCCCTCGAAGATGAGTGCTATAGAAAATAATAATAATAAAAATATTCACCTGATCTAATTATGACTCCTCCGTTCCCAATCTTCCTCTGGAATTAATTTTTGGATTTTTCTGATTTGTTCACCTTTATGTACCTCCATGTATCAGTTCAAAACAAATGAATGGAATGTGAAAAGATGGAGGGATGAAGAGCACCTTTGTTATGAAATGAAAGCAATGTGAGTGTTGCTCAGTGATTTCAACACCAGATTCTTAGTTGGTGTTATCGGTGTCAAGCCAGGCTAGCGCTACATGTTTTGGATTCCCGCTAGCGATGGTTAAAACAGACATTTCTTTTCAGAAGGCAGCAAGCGTCAGCTACGAACCAAGCAAGCGGATGTGAATAGATGGAATCACAAACCCGCGTCTGGTTGTGCGTCCAGTCTGGTAGCTGGACTCGGCGAAATTTGTGTCACAATTTCATGTGTCTGACGCATAACCGGAATTTGAGGTTGTCGGAACGATTCCGGTTCTGGAACTTCCACTTGTAGTTGATGTAGCTCTTCCACGGACTGCCGTACGATTTGTTCCGCGCGTCTGTTACGCTGATCGTAAGGATTGGGGCTGATAATTGGCGGAGAGGGGGTGGCACGTTCCTCACTAGGATCAGCCGTGACCACATGTCGTCGTGTTCCGTCAGTGCCCAGGATGGCAAATTCACTATCATCTTCTATGGACGGAATTGGAGTGTATCGTCGAGTCGAGTGATGAGATATAATATCTGGCTGACTATTTAGTCCTTTTGAACGTCTTGCAACTATTGGTGGACTAGACGTTGGCAGTTTTGATGCCGTGGTAAAACGAATATCGGAGTGTGGATCCGGACCAACCAGAATTGTGGGTGTGGACACGCGTGTGTCTGTTCGCATATGTCCGTCGCGATAAGATTTCGGATGATACGATTGTTGTTGTTGTTGATGATGATGATGATGAGAATGTTGGAGGTGGGGCGGTTGGGAATGCGGATGAGAATGATGTTGCTGAATAATATGTGGTTCCTGATGCACTTGTTGCTGTTGTTGTTGTTGCTGCTGCTGTTGAAGGAGAGTGAGATGTCCGTGGGGATGTTCCACGCTTCTGGGAAGCGTGCGGGTGACTAGTGAGGAGCGATTGTCGACGGATTCGTTTGGCACACCTAAGGGGCTGGAGCTGCGAACTCGACCCTCAGTAAACAGTTGCGGGTTCACATTTTCCGAACGCGAGATTGTATTATTTCTTCGGAATGTTGATCTGGATGAAAATGCATGGTGGCCGGAGCCTGTGGGGGTTCACACAATCGACTGAGTCAGCGTTTAAGAAACCTTTCGAATAAACAAATGCACGGATCTGATTCAATCTCGTCATACATTTAGTTCTTTTAATTGTAATACGTTTTTATTGTTTAGCCAGTAAGGTTGTTTGTTCCAGTTATGTGCGCGATCATCACGCCATGTGGGAGCAGTGACTTACCCCGAGTGTTATATGCCTAGTTTCAATGAATCACTTCGTTAAGGGGAATGAACTAGAACTCTTTCAAACTGTTCCACTTAACCAAATTTTCAAAAAGTTTGTGAATTCGGAAGAAAACTGATTTTTTTTCTTATACCCTAATTTTTTGAAGTGAGTGTAATAAAATGTCCTATTACATTTCCTAAATGTTAATTGATTATCTGGCGAATCGAATCCTGTTAAAGGGAAGAAGACTAAGAGAATTGTAAACAAGGGAAAATGTTGTGTTTTGTGTTTTGCTGCACTTGAGGACTGATGAAATATTTTCAAACGGGAGTGATTCATTATTTAAAAACCAATGATCCATAGCATTTATTCATGTTCTTTGAGTTCTCCTCATTACTAGCACCGGTCAGTATGTGTCTTCTCCTCTCTTTGTACTTAGATTTTACTTTTTCGACAAAATCAAAGATGTTCTCGTGCACTCGTACAAATCTGGCTTACCGTCCATCAGAGATCCTCCAGGCGCTCGGGCTAACGTTGTCAGTGATCCGACGCGTGAGTCAATATCCTGAACTCCACGACCAATCGGTTGCAGGATAATGGTCTCAATCTCCTCGAAAGCTTCCGTACCCCCGGTTTGCTGTTCACAGGGAGGACAGAACGACAGTTATTATTGATGATTTGAATGATGAGAGGATGGAGAACAAAAGTGTGTTTTTAAAGTTCCGTCACTTGTTCCACTCCACTCTTGGAGGGTAGCATTGCTGTACAGTAAAGGCACATGAATCATCTGATGAACAGTTTTCAAACCTCAATTGGACTTTTCTATTCTCTGACACAATGATCATTATTGTTAACAGAAAATTCGGGTGGTTTTTCGCATCCAATATATTTGTCCTATAGCAATTCGCATCGCTCGCTCGCTCGATTGCTGGTGCGCACACACTCACACAAGCACACATAAACGAGAACCGCTTGATTGACCTCGATCGAAACTCATGACCGTGAATTGGGCCGCTGCTACCAGGTGAGTGTCAGAAACCGAAACACACAGCTGCCGCTCACAATAGCACAGTCGGATCATTTCAGATTTAGATAGAATAAGTTTGCCTATTTGTTGTTGAGCCTTACGATCCAGGTGATATGAAAACTAATTCCCAAAGTGACACACAGCAGGCAGAAGCTAGATCATGTTCATGGTACCGGAAAATAATTTCCGTTACCAACACTAACAGATTGAACATGAGATGCTTTGCAATTCATCCATTTGAATGTGTTTTGTTGGATTATTAACCACATGAAAGTAGCACTTTGAGTTAGCGGTTTAAAATTACCGATGAGACAGATAAGATAGCGATAATTGTAGTATGTCAGCAAGGTAGATTTGGTAGCTCGATGGCACAAACAAAACGAATCTGAAGTAGCATGGGTGTACTGTAGTTTGTTGATACTTGGCGGTCGTTAAGTGACGATTTCAAGTGATGAAAACGAATGCATTCCTGCGTGTTTGTAGAATGACTGGTGAGTTGTGCTGTGAGAAATAAACACATCGTTCAGGTTAAATAGACGTTGTATATTTAGTTCATTTAAGCAGTTCTGCTTTTTCCGGTAATTGGTAGATGGCGAAAGGGAAAGCCTGGACATTACGTAACACTCCGATAGAAGTATTAAAGCAATAAACGTTGAAATAAAACTGTACATTGTGTATATCCGAGGGCTTACAATCACAGATCTCCTGGAGTTGAGTTGTTGGGACCAAGCACTTTGCTTATATAAATGGATATTACATCTGTCTCATTGGTGAACAAGTCCCGTTAGGAATTGCAATACATCAAATGGACACTAACCCTTCAGCCAATAACTCAAGTACATGCATATATCCATTATTAATTACTTAAGCTTATGTATTTATCCACACCTAATTCAAGCGCTAGGCGATATGGTCCAAATGTATGTGAAAACACGGACATTTTTTCATGCGCAACTTGTCAATGTGATTCAAAAGACCGGAACATATTGCCAACCTCACGCTTCGCCAGTTCATTTTGGTAAAACTACTACTAAACTACTACAAAACTGCATTAAAAAAAATTACCGCTGATATCGGCTCCGAGTTTAAACCGGCAAATCCACACATCACTTTTCAGGTTTTCTTCTTAGTTTGGGGTTGTAAAATACCAAAAGCTGGTATTAGACTGCCAGACACCACGCATGACCGAGAAAAGCAAACAAAGCTTCGCTGTCTATTGTTATCCACATTCGCCATAGGCGGCTTTTCTTGGTATAACACAGCGTGGATTGTGGCATCAAAATATAAGGAGCCATTTGCCTGACATGTAACACATATATTCACACACACACACACACACACACACACACACACACAAACTAACCAACTAACTAACTGCGTCTACTTACACATCAGTGCCCAGGGAAGTTTCGTACATTCATAAGTATCTTACATATACGGAATACAGCATGCGGTGATTGGCTGTCGTCCAAGTTCA